TATTATTATTATTATTATTATTATTATTATTATTATTATTATTATTATTATTATTATTATTATTATCTCCTGTCCTTTGCGGTTCCAAATGAACGGATCCTATGAGATACTGGGACAACCAGAAGAACATATGAAATAATACAACATAAATGCAGCTGCAGCTCAGAAAGCAGGTGAAGGAGCTTCATCTTCTCACAGATCACAATGTCATTATACCGACATAACATAGTGACGGTTTTAAAAATGCTGCAACTTAAAAGGCTGCCAGTGCCAGTCTTCTGACAGCTGAGCGATTAGACTGAGCAGGAATGTTATTGGAGAAGTCAGGAGGGAAGCACACTGAGCTTCATCACAGCCTTTGCTAGCAACGTATTACCAGGCAATACATGGAGATTTACCTCAGAGAGTTTTCCTGTTGTGCTTTCTCCAGTTTACAGGGACCCCACCCACTATTGTTTTGCCTTGCTTTGTTTTGGGAGTTTGTTAAACTGAGCAGGGTGGTCAGGCTGAAGTCTGGGTATCTACTGCTGGAGACCACCCAGAGCTTACATCTGACCTCTCCTCACCCTGTACGTCCCCCATCACTTTCCTTCAAGTGTGCCGAACATTTGGATGGCATTAACAGTGTAACAGCGATAAAGCAGCTTCCTGAGTTCACTTTCCAGAGAGCGCCTTGCAAAAGTGCACAAACCTCTTGAACTTTTCCACATTTTACCTTGTTACAATCAAACACGTCTGTTTATTTGACTGGGATCTCATGTGATAGAGAGAGTTTGAGGCAAATCGGATGACTTAGGCCGTTTTCCAACTGCTGCTTCCTTATTGCCACTCTGTCATAAAATTTATGTTGTGCACAATTCATTTCTGTAGGACTGCATGGTTCTCAGAAGAAGGCCAAATTGGGATATTCTTGCTGAATACTGCTGTGACTTCATGGTTTCTAGTTATCAAATGTTTTCACCAGTAAGTTCAGTCCATTTACCATTTTTGCATCTATCAGGCAAAACAGATTTTGACATAAGCACTAATGATGAAGAGGCAGATGATTCTACTCCTTGGGAAGTCATGAAGTCTGTTCTGTTGACCTATAATGACGTCTGGAAACATTTTTATTATCCTCTTTGAAACGATACCTGCACAAACAAACACTTAGTGCACAAACCAGCACAAATGTAGCCGAATTGATTGTCATCAATTTGGTCCGATTTGTGGAAGGAGGGACGGGGAGCGTTGACCTTTAGTAACCTCTGGAAGCATTTATTAATATCTTTAAAATAATAGTGGCTAGGGATGTGCAATATGGTGCAAAATTCATATCACAATATATATTATGATGGGTGGCGGTAACAATATACAAAACAATGTATAAAACTTAAAGAAAAAAATGACATACTTACTGAGTGGAAAACTTGTAAATGAAACAGTCTTGCAAAATGTTTACCTGTTTTGTTTTATGTTGCTGCCCATCATTGCCAAGTCTTCCTGAAAAAAAAAATCTAAATTTAAAGGCGCTCTGGCAATGAGAGGCAGCAGCTTATTCTCAGTGGTGGCTACCTCATTAAATCGAATTTAATTAAATAAATGAAAATGTTTCTCTATGTGGAAACAGAATAACTTTAATTTAATGGAGGCAAATTCTGCTGTTTCTTCTCGGCGTTGTGACTGGAGCTTGTTAGGTGCCTGGCTTGGCATTGTTAGTATTCAAGCACACGCTTTGTTTTTAAGGTGGTAAAACAAATTGCTTCTATCTCCTCTCTTCCACACACTTTGCAGATTACAGAGAGAGGTCAAACCCGAACCAGGTTGAAATTATTTACTTGTTCTGAACCTGTAAACTCGTCACTTCCATCAGGTGTTTTCTCTCAGTAATCAAACCACTGATTAAGAAGAACAATCTGGACAAATCACTGCTGCAGAATTACAGGCCAAACTCCAAAGTTCTGTTCATTAGCAAAATTATTGAAAAATCTGTCTCAACAGTTAAATAATTTCCTAACTATAATGTCTATCAGTCTGTTTTCCACAGTACTCAGGCTGTTCAGTGACATCCATCTAAATACAGACTGGAAGAACCACAGTGCTGGTTCTGTTGGACCTCAGTGCAGCTTTTGACACCCATGATCATGACATATTGAGTTGGGTCAGACTCTATGGTCCAATCCCCAGCTGGTTCAAATCTTACATAAAGATCAGAGATTTCTTTGTTTCAATAAGTAACTTGTCATGGAAGTGGACAGAAGTCACATACGGTGAACCCCGAGGTTTGACAAAAAGCTTTTAGTTACTCAGGTTCAGATAATGGGTGGAGAGCTAAATACCAACTAAATTTAAAGGGAACTTTCAACACATGAATTCCTATTTTTCAAGCTGAAACACTTTAAAAAGGGGAAGTCAGTACTGAGCTCCTGTTTGTTTTACTGTCATCACTTCTTCTGCATGAGGCGTGTTTTATTCACAGCGGTGGAAATATCGCTCAGCAGCAACGTGGCTCCAGAAGCACATAGTTTTCTTCTTCTTCTTCTTCTTCAGTGGAGCAAAGTGATTTAGTTGGTGTCACAGGATAGATCAGGGTAGATATATCTTGGAGGTTTTATTGAGCTCCAAACAAGAAGAATCAACATCAGGACCAGTGCCCTGCTGCCCGTCCTCCTCTCTGAGCCACTTGTGGGCTGTCACGGTTATTAGTTATGAATTAAAGTTAAGCTTTTACGATATGTCAGGCTGCTTTGTTCCATTGACCCATATCTGCTTGGTCCATTTTTATTCAACCTCTGTCATGTAAGCTTTATTTACTTAGACTGTCAAAATACTCAGCGACTGATATTGCTGTGGTCGAGAGAAAGAGCTGGAGATCATCTGGAGTCTGGCAGGATCCACAGGAATTATCAGGAGTTAGAAACAGATTTCACCAACAGCTGAAATCCGTGAACATTGAGATCTCCACTGAAAATGATCATTTTAGTAGATCAGACAGCAAATATACTTTAACCTGCATTAATACACAGTAGACACTAACATCCACAATCTTCATTTTCTTTGCTGTTCAGGGTGCAGCCTATCAACTGCAAGAAAATAAATACCATTACATATTATTTAACATTGCGCTTAAATACTTAAGCTTCCTACACTTTCAAGTATTTGACAGGGTTTTCCAAAGTAATGCTCCACAGAACAGTCCTGAATACTGAAGAGTATTCAGAGTATGGGCTAGTATAAAACTTTCCTATCGCTTTTATTTGATGCAGAGAATCCATCATTATTCCTACTGATGCTAAAATAAAATAACAAAATCCGAGTAGCAAGGGGTGCTGGTGTCTCTCCAGCAGTTAACATGCAGGAGTCAGTCAGTCGCAGGATAGCAGCATCTAAAAGTCGCATTAATGTCGTCTACAGCTACAACAAGGTGTGAGACCTTTCCAACAAGACTTTGGTCCATGTTGAAACTTCACTCTGTTGCTGTTTCTTGTTCCCTCACATCACGCATTTAGTTGTTTTTTTTTATTAAATTGAGATCTGGTATCTATGGAGGCCATTGAAATACATTGAATTTCTTGTCAGCTTTGAGCTTTTTGGCAGGAAGTAGCATCAGAGGATGGTACACTGTGGTAGGAAAGGGCGATTTGTCATATCTGTCATTATCATGGAAGAATAAATACTATGTATTGCCCTTGTGTGAATTATGGTTATGTTTACTAACACCATCTCAAGTAAAAGTTAGATTTATCTGAGCAAATAAACAACTCTTGACAAAAACAGCACACATCTAAAATCCCTGATATTTTCAAAACTGGCATAAATTTTTAAACCTGTTTACTTGTTTATATCCCAGTTCTGCACACATTCATCTGTAAGCAAATAAGCTCCCTACTGAACACGCACAGAATGAGCTGACAGTTTTCAAAGTGGGTTGAAATGCTCTGCAGAATAACATCAGGACTTACTTTCAAACTAAACACTTTCTGATAATGTAAATCATTTGGTGCTCTGTGTTTTTCAGAGAACCTGGGCAGCTGCTGACATCCATTATTGCCTGGAGATAAAAAACAAAGTGCCCCAGAGTTGTGGAAGTCACTGCACTGTGCTCGGTGAAGGGCCTCATCATGGCCGCTCATCGGATCAGAGCCAACAACAACAACACGTCTCTTCCTCGCTGCAAATCGGAGGGAACGCTGGTCGATCTCAGCGAGGGAGTGTCAGAGGCCACTCTGACAGATGTCAAAGGTCAGCATTACACATCATAAGACTGTGCTTTCATTGTTGGACTTCTTCTAATTGAACTGCAGATTGGAACAATTTATATATTTTAGAACAAATGACGATGCTAAAAACATTGAATATGCTAATTGCAGGTTGGTGAAGTGTGGGACACCTAAAAACCTGTCAGACGAGACGATCCGTTCTCGTCAGATGAAGTTTTAATTTTTATGTTTAGCATCTATGCTAAGTGACCAGAGACGGGGCATTGATCACCCAATGGCAGCTCAAAGATCTACAACATGACAACTGTTAGCATCCACGCTAGTATTTAAATGACTTAGTTGTTCCTGTCGCAACTTTTTTGGGACGTGTTGCAGACATCAAATCCCAAATGAGTGAATATTTGGCAAAAAAATACAAAAAACAAATAAATAAAAACAGCAAAGTTTCTCCATTTGAAGATGACATATCTTGTCTTTGTAGTGATCTCATTGAATATGGATTGGAACTGGGGTTGTAAATCTAAATGAGATAAGAATAGATGTTTACGGATGCTCTCTGTGTAATTAGATCAAGCCCAAACATTTCACACTCCAGATAACTTGCAGCTGTAACTACGTTGGGTCTGCAAAGTATTTACTCTTGAGGTTGAATGTAAAACAACATGTTGCTCTCAAAGAACATTGGTTTTGCTCCAATCAAATGCATTGAAGTTTTTTTTCACTTTTTTTTTTAGTGTGAAAAAAAATCTGAGAGTTCAAGGGGTATGAATACTTTTTAAACCCTTTGTACGTGAAACAACTTATTGTTTCATTCACTGATTGTATGCATCACAGCAGCATGGGAAAAGAAAACCAATGTTTTTCTTTGCTGTGTTTTTTCAGTGCCTTCTCCGAGTGCCTTACGACTGGACACCACCGCTTCCTTTGGTGCCGCGAGGGAAGTTGTTGCCATAAAGGACTACTGCCCATCCAGCTTCACCACTCTCAAGTTCTCCAAGGGCGACCTCCTCTACGTTCTTGACTCGTCTGGGGGAGAGTGGTGGTACGCTCACAACAACACAGAGATGGGCTACATCCCCGCCGCCTATGTGGAGCCCATCAACTACAGAGACTCATCCTTCAGCGACAGCGGCGTGATAGACACGGTGTCGGACTGTAACGAGGAGGGAGCTAAAGAAATGGACCTGTTAGGCGAGTGGACAGGAGAAATTCTGAAACCCACCACTTTTCAAAATGGAAATCCTTTTGCAACAACCCATACCTCTACAAATCCGTTTCTAAACAGGGTTTCTCAGAGTGATCAGACGATAAAAGAGAAATCAGTTGACCTCCTTCTGTTTGACACACTCTCTTCTTCTGGCCCCAATTCTACCAGAAACACCGGAGACAATGGTTTTTCCAGCCACGTCTTTAGCTTGAACACTCTTAGTCCCACTGTGGCTGTGGGGCAAACGTTTCAAAGAGACAACCCGTTTTTTAGAAGCAAGCGTTCCTACAGCCTGTCTGAACTGTCCATCCTTCAGGCTCAGACAGAAGCTCCCCAAGCCTCCAGCGGTTTCTTCAGAGGTCTCAAAGCGCCGGCGCCCGAGCAGTTCCAGTCCAGGGAGGACTTCCGCACGGCATGGCTCACCCATCGCAAGTTGGCCAGGTCCTGCCACGACCTGGATTCGCTGGGTCAGAACCCGGGCTGGGGTCAAACGCAGCCGGTAGAAACCAACATTGTCTGTCGTCTGGACAGCTCAGGAGGAGCCGTGCAGCTTCCAGACACCAACATTAGCGTCCTGGTGCCTGAGGGCCACGTGGCAGAAGGGGACACACAACAAATCTCAATCAAAGCTCTGCTCGACTCACCACTTGAACTGAACAGCGATCGCTGCACCACTGTCAGCCCCGTGTTGGAGATCAAACTCAGCAACATGGAGGCCAAAACCACCATCACCCTGGAGATGAAAGTGTCCGTTGTTGTGAAAATGGAGCACAGGCAGACGACAGAAGTCTTGTGCGTGAGGAGTGACTGTAAAGAGGGGCCGTATGCCCCCATTCCTCAGGCCTACATCTATGGGGACACGGTCCAGGTGGGCCTGGATAACCTGGAGCCATGCATGTATGTGTGTGTGGTTACCCGGGCCCTGTCTGTACGGCCTGAAACCACAGTCTGGGAGCACGTTGTTAAAAAGATTACCTTAGGAGTTTACGGTCCAAAACACATCCACCCATCCTTCAAAACTGTGGTGGCCATGTTTGGCCATGAATGTGCTCCAAAGAGCCTGTTGGTGAGCGAGGCGGGTAAGCAGGCGCAGTCTGCACCACCAGTTGCCCTGCAGCTTTGGGGTAAACATCAGTTTGTCTTGTCGAAACCTCAAGACCTCCATGTTGAGGTTTACTCCAACATGGCCAACTATGAGGTAAAAGCCAGCGAGCAGGCCCGAGCGGTCCGGGGCTTCCAGGTCCGACTAGGCAAAGTCAGCAGGCTGATCTACATGATTTCCACCCGCAACGCTGAAGATGTTTCGGATTTCACTCTAAGAATCCAAGTCAAAGACGACCAAGATTGTATCCTTGCTCAGTTTTGTGTCCAAACACCAACACCGCCACCGAAAGCAGGCCCAAAGACGTCAGTGCAGCGGCGATTCCTGAAGAAGAAGGAGCTGGGGAAGATAGTTTTGTCTCCTCTTGCTGTTGCCACCAAATACCCCGTTTTCCAGGACAGAAAAATAAACAACCTAAAGTTTGGGAAATTAATCAAAACCGTAATCAGGCAAATGAAAAACCAGTACTTGCTTGAATACAAAAAAGGAGACTTTGTAGCCCTTCTGAGTGAGGAGCTGATCAAGCTGAAGGGCCAGTTGTGGACTAAAGAGTGGTACATTGGGTATTATCAGGGCAAAATAGGGCTTGTTCATGCTAAGAATGTCCTGATAGTTGGCAAGACAAAGCCCACTAACATCAGCGGGCCTGAACTTACAACCTGGTTGTTGCTGGAGCAAATACTGAAGCCCTGCAAGTTCCTCACATACATCTATGCCTCAGTAAGAACTATACTGATGGAGAACATCGGCAACTGGCGCGTTTTTGCGGACGCTCTTGGCTACGTCAACCTGCCCCTGACGCATTTCTGCCGCACAGAGCTGGACAGTGAGCCAGAGAGGGTGGCGTCGGTCCTGGAGAGGCTAAAGGAAGACTGCAACAATGCAGAGAGCAAAGAGAGGAAGTCCTTCCAGAAAGAGCTCCTGACTGTAAGTTGCAGCTTTGGCACGTTCCTCTGTTGTTTAGTATGAAAATAAAGAACACTAATTGCTTGCTCTTGTTTTAAGCACTGGGTCTCAATTGGATCCCCTTTGTTCCTCCGTGGGTCCAATTAAACAGCCGTATGTTTGGGAGATTTCGCTCAAACAACATCCTTTCCTCAGGTTTATAATCTCTCCGCAGCTGCTTACGGCCTGAAGCTTCAGGCAGTGATCCAGTTCTACTAATTCAGCCGGGAGTGGAGTTGATAGCTGCTGCGTTGGCACCAAGGTGTAGCAGGGGCCCGAGGAGCCGTGGAAAACAGCAGAGTGCTTTGTTCCCCCTACCCATGTCTGTTGCTGGAGTTTCACAGTGTGCAGTTTGCATATAACCTGCTGATCTGATGAATCCAGCTGATCTTATATAGACACATAAATCAACCTGGGGGGATAAACAAGCCAGTAAAACAGCTGAAAGAAAAACAGCCTCATGTCCTGATACTTTTAAATATTACAGAGATCGTATCTGCAGGCTCTGATACGGTTGGCAGTCCTTTTTGTCTTTCTGATGCTTTGAAAGTGCTGAGCTGACATGGAAATGTGGATTTTTCAGTGCAGCCTGAGGGATTCTCCTCCACACAGTCTGAGACAATCTGAGTCTCTCCCCCGACTCAGATTGTCTCCCATCGACTTTTGACCAAGACCAATCAGCAAACAGGAGGAGGAGAAATCGTGAGTGATGACATCAATTCTCGGCGCTGTTTTAGATTTGGAGTTTTAACAATGGTAGCGGAGGAAGTGAACAAAGCTGTCTCTGTTTGCGACGCTTCCAAATACAGAGTTAATATTAACAGCCACCTTGTTCAGCTCTGCACTTCTCTATTCGCAGTGGAGGATAGTTGTTTACGATGCAGACCGCTTCCAGTCCGCGGCGCTTTCATAACGTCGCTCTGGTGCACTACATGCATCTCGGATGTAAAATTTAAGACTTCATCTTAGTCCACACCTTCAGGAAGAAACTGTTTCTCAGCAGCCAAGAGCCTAGAGATCCTGTGGACAAAGCAGACGAGGGCAAAAGCATTCTTACAGTTTTCTCCTGGTTTTGCTTTTTTGTCAAACCCAACAAATTTGGTCATCAAAGATAGTAATTATAAAATTTAAATTTTATAATTACAGACTGTTTATTCATTACATTTTTAAAAAGATGTGGAGAAGTAGTAAACCCCGAGACCCAATAATAGTTTTTGCCACTCTTAGCTGCTGAGCAGCAACAACTGACTTCAAGCATCTGGGATCAGAGCAGAGAAGTTCTTGACATCATCGTGGATAAATCTTG